CTCACCCTTTCACTGTGCACCTTCAAGAAGAATCTGTATTTCTACAAAGTTCAAATGTTCTAACTTTCTCTGAGTTTGACCTAGTAATAAAGCCAGATCTGCAGACAACAAATGGACCCTGTTACTGAATTTAAAGGAGCTATACTGCTTTATCAGCTTGGAGAATCTGGCCCTTCCAATGTCAACGGTAAGGCAATGTATAGACAGCTGTATCTCTAAGCATCTGCAAATGCGGACATATTTAGCTGCCTGGTATTTTCAGGCTTGGTTTCAGCAGTCAGCTAACCTGCAAATGACTTTCGCAGAGCATAAAAGCACACTTGAATATCCCCAGCTTTTACATAGAAAATAGCTCAGGAAACTCAGACAGTCTTATTTCCCCAGAGACTCTAGAGCCACGTTTGTAAAGCCAATGTTACACTACCAACACTTTCTAGTCTTATATCTTCCACCCACGTTCTTTATTAGACTGTAATTCTGAATGCTGTTGTTTGCTATGGGATCTCTAAGCTAAGGTCCCAAGGCAAAGGGAAGTATCAAAGCTACAGTCAGAGAAAGTTTCATCTTGCAAGGGAAAATGTTAACATACATTCCTAGATTTTTTCTATTTTTTTCTTTTTTTTCTTTTTCCAAAAACAAAAATAAAATTACTGATTACATATAGAAAAAATGTACTCTTCTAGATTTCCTACTGGCAAAAGCCTTGGATAGTTCACAAGAGTCTATTTTGTTAGCAATTTAATTTCATTTCCAACTGAAATCAAAGCCTGTCCTCAGTCTCTACTGGCCCATAGCTGACCTCATATTATTGTATTTTGTTTAATCTGATGAGTTTCAGCTTTGAAAAAACTGGTTTCAGTAGGATTGACACTTCTGAGCACTCTGTAGGGCCTTCCCTTACATAGGAGTCTTGTCTGTAAAACAGTTCATCTTTCAGAAGGAAGAACGTGGAGGATGTAAGAGCAAACTGATAGGAAGATTCTTTTGCCCATCATCAAGTTATCTGGGTCATTTTCTTACCAAAGAAGCTGATATGAGACACCAGAAACTCACAAGCCTGTTATCTCTGAAGCCATGCTCTATAATCCTGGACACTTCTTTGCTGCCAGTGCGACAGAATACAGTAAGAGATTATCTGGCAGATCCATTCCCCATCTCATCTCCAGCGCAATTTAAAATACTGTGTGGTTCAAGGCAATGGGTCTGGCTCTCAGGTACCATAAGATGTCCTAGCTCAACTAAAAGTTTCTTTCTAAACTTAGACCAGCTGTGCACAGCCTTTGTCTTCTCATTCTCATCTATTCTTTGTAGGATAGACTTTGCAGTTCCTTCTAGACTCATGATCTTGACTACTGAGTTTATTCCACACCTTGGCCCTGTAGAGATGGTATTGCGTGGCTTGTAACAGCTGATTTCTTGAGTCCGTCTAGGCTGACTAATCCAGTGGTCTCTGCACAAAGCATCCTGCCAGCACCCACAACTAGTTAAGCTGGTAGCCAAGCACAGATATCCACATTATTGTCTCTGTCTCTGGTATGTATGAATATGCTCTCTATGGAGAAGTTCTGCAGCTAGCATGGCCTAATAACGTAAGCCATTCCTTTCTAACCCAGGTAGTATTCTCTGGTTTGGGCACTAAAAGTCTCGACCTTAGCTTTGATTTCACATTATGAAGAGGACGTGATGGCTGTCATCATCTGTGCTTACAGGCAAGAACTAATGATTGCTGTTTGTATGGTACCCACTGCGATGACATCTGATCCAGCTGGTCTTTGGCATTCACTTCAATCCCATCATGGTCCACTTCAGTCATCTCATCTCTATAGAGTCTAGTTAATGGATGAGACAGAAGGGTTTATACTGGGCTAAATCATTAATTGCTCTATGCTGATGGAATACTAAAATGTACTTTTTTGAAAAAAAAATCTGATGTGACATCTTAGATTTTAAAATATAGACAATTTCTTTCTGGCTTTGCATAGTCATGAAATTATATTTCAGTTCATTAATCTAATACATTTTTTTTTAAAAAAAAGCAACATGGGGCTTTTTTTGCTGATTCAGAAATCTTCTGGCAGGTAGGCAGGTTTTTTCTTTCTCCTGAAGGCTTTCTGATTGCTAGAAGGTACATAGAATGCTTGGGCATACAAAACCTGGCCGGACAAGAACCCTGCCAACATCCCAGATGCTTATGTACAGTTGGGACCACAGAAACAAGGATGTGGTCACAGTTCGAGCTTAGATCTCTTGGTCCACTCAGGAAATGTTGGAGGTAGACTGCAGCTTCTCCCAGGTTTGTGGAGCCAGTCTTCTACCCTGGATAGAGGCAGGAGCTCAGCTCAGTGTTCAGGGCGATGTACAGGACATCTCAGGGACACCTTAATTTCCTGAGACCATGACAACGGGGCAAAATTCACTTGTTATTGGGATCTGCTATATGAATTGCCCTGTGCTAGAGAAATATAAGTACCATATATTGTAATGATACAAATATAGCAGAGAGATTCATTACTGTATGACAGAACATGATGTGCCTGAGAAAATATCAACTTGGTACTCAATCTTATCTGTCTGCAGTATCTCTTAGGAGGATATGGAGGCCAGCTCCCCACAGAGAGGTGTGAGGTAAAAATCTTCCAGACAAGAGACACCATTATGAACTGTTAGCTCTACCATATCTACAGGAGGTGTAGTGTCCTGAGATTCATATTCTCAGCACTGATATTTCCCTTTTAATCCATATAGCAATAAATTCCCCTTGCAGCCATCTTTTGGGAAGGTTCAAGTAGATGCAACTTTGTGATCAGGGCTTCTTAGGAGAGAGTCCCTGTTGCTACCTTCAGCATAAACACAAAAAATATTTCTCATTTCAGATCTCTGCCCCAGTAGTGCCAGCAAGATTCAATGTAAATCACATTTTTTCCCTTGGGGCTGAAGCCAGCGCAACAGTCTAATGAGTAGTACTTTGAAAGGCCGGTGAAAAGTCTAATGATATGGATTTAACTGTGTTGGACATCAGCTTTAATAGCCTGTTTCTGAGATATGGGTGTATTGACAGTGCTTATGATAAATGACGCTCCTCAGTTATTCTTGCATGACTGGTTTCCTTTCAAAGTACTCAAAAGGTTTAGAAAAAATGAACTATTCACGATGGAATATATTCACTTACTGGTCCTGAGATATTGTGTCCCAGGCACCTTCCTACCAAGTCAGTGGACAGAATTTTTTATTTCTTACTTTCTGTGTCAACAGAGTCACAATGAAGTTTCGATTACAGAATGAAAAATGTCATTTTCTGGTTGGCACAGAGCCTGGTTTATATTGGCCAAGGTGTTTAGTTACCTTTTTCTCTGCTTTAGCCCTCAAAAGGAAAGGTTTATGCTAATAGTTGAACAAAAGGGGAAAATAAAGTACCAAGTCTCTTTTAGGGACTAAGCTAACCTTCTCTGGTTAATCGTTCCAATTAGGAAGTGTATGTATCTACTTACATAGTATGAATTGGTAGTTGTCATTGGACTGTGGAAGACCAAAAGTAGTTATTCAAAAAGGTCATTTTCTCAAGCAACATGGTGTCATTGCCAATTACTTCAGGTCATTGAGTAGCAAGGTCATCATAATCACTAGTGATATTAGAATTTTTATGCTCCTATCAGGCTGCAGTTTTCCAGGCTCGGTAGAAAAAAACCCTGTGAGTCACAACACTTGGGCCATGGCTTTTTGTGCTGGTGGTTCAATGCCAGCTGGGAGATACTTCATTTGTGCATCAGAGAGAATTCCAGCCTTGGGATGAGGCTGACTCCACATTCTGCAGATCAGCTGCCTTAAAGCTCACTTCTGATGCTCCTTTCTCCTCCTCCTTGCAAGGCATCAGCCCTTCATCATAATTTCAGAGCAACCTGGACCTTATTCTAGCTGATACCAAGTGGCGTACAGAGTTCATGAGGTAAATAAAATATCCTGGTGTAGGAGGGCATCTTCAAAACAGCATAGGAGTGCTGAGGGAAGTCTTTAGTGTGGTCACACCACACCAAAGTGAAGGAATGGAGCAGTCTAAGAGTCTCCTTATGAATTCACAGTACTCAAAGTTCTCCATATGCTACTCCATGGGTTTTAAGGCCTTGTAGTTCTTAACCTTAAGTCTGTTTAGAAAGTCCTCACTCCACAATGGTGCAGTCAGGAGAATATCATAACTTTTTTTTGTAAGGTAACATTTTTAAGGACACTGTCACACTGCAGTGACACTGCTGTCTATCCCTAAACACTGTTAAAGGAATGGTGTGGGAAGAAAGCAGCGGTCAGTCATTCTGGAATGGTTGACTTCCCTCCATGGCGTTCATGCATTTTTGGTACTCTTTGATCTTGCTGGCATACAGGAGGAGTAAATTCGTCAAAATCAATAGAGTGACAATTGAATAAGATAATACCTCAGAACTTTAGGAAAGTTTAGTCAGACCAGTATGACAGGTAAAGATAGGGATGGAAAATTTATGAGCTGAAAGATGGTGATTCGTTACAGGCATGAGAACAGCACCAAGACAAAATGGAGTTATCTACTCTCTCATTCCATTTACATTAAAGGTTTCTTCACAAATAGTTAATAAGGGATTATAAATTAGCAACAGATGTGTGCATGTGACAGACAGGAGCAAAAGGGGTCAAAGGTTGGTCTGTGCAGTGCTAAAGGATTTTGATGACAAATCCATTGTGGGGCTAGTGTGGTTAAAATACATAGGGTTTTGTAGCTGTTGACATGCAGTGGAACAATGGAATTAGCACTTCAGATGGGCACTTTTGACTCACTCCTTGAATGATAAAGAAGTTCATTCACATTCACTGCTGGGTCAGGAGACAGTCACCTATGGTAAGTAGATCTCTAGAAGCTGTTGGAGGTGCCATCCCAGCTGCATAACAATATACAGAAATTGCTGGATCTCTGAATCTTCTTGTGGCCCTGTGGCCTTTTCCTATAAAATGCGATACACCTTTCCTTGTTTGCACAGTTGAGAGGAAAGGGAAACGGAGAATCCGGACAACGTTCACAGCTGAGCAGCTGCAGGAACTGGAGAAGATTTTCCAAGTGACTCACTACCCGGATGTCCATATTCGCAATCAACTGGCAGCAAAGATAAACCTCCCAGAAGCCAGAGTTCAGGTACACTGTGTCTCCAAAAGGCTATGCTCACTGCACCAATTCTTTATTCAGAGTATGTTGTTCATAGTTGATGCCTGGGTGACAACGCTGATGAAATACGTGACTTCTCTGTTACCTTACAGAGGAGGCCAGTATCACTGTTCTCCTTCTACAAATAGGGAAAAAAAGTATTTGTCACCCATCTGGGACTAACCAAATGGGATTAATCAAAGGGTTAACTGGGGCTCTAAGCATACTAAATGCATAGCAAATATGAGTTACAGATGATTATGAGCAACCTGTTGGACTCTGTAGCAACAGAGAGGCCATTTATGAAAATATTTATTAAGCATTTATCAACCTTTTGTAGACTAATGTACATCCAGTACAAACTGTCATCCACATCCATGTTCTACAGGGTCTCAAAAAAAGTGAAAGTAACTGCCCAAATAAAAATGCTTTCTTACTGTTCTGTATTTTGATATCACGGACTATAAATGCCCTGGCTGTAATTTCAGTGCATGGAAACTAATCCAGTTCCCCCCAGCTGTAATGTGGTCTTGCTGACTGACCTCAAAATTGACCCCAAATGTTTAATGCATATGAAATCTGCTACATTAACATATACATACCGGCGTGTATTGGAATTTGGTGCTGTTTACCAGGCACTGTTGTGATGATTTTTGCACAAGGCAGTTTCTGTACTTACCATAAAACTAGAGTCATCCGTGTACTTCTACGCACATATCCCGCTCTACCAATCAAAGTTCAACACAGAGCAGTTTATTGACTATGACATGCCTGGGACTATTGACTAACCATGATGATATTGCTTCATAGTTAGGCGACAGGGAAAATTGGAACACCATAGCTGTGATATGCCCATTAGCGATATCAGTGCACCCACAATGCATTTCCAATGGTATAAAGCACAAGCTGGGCTACTAGTCAGTGTTCCCAACAGAACAGCAAATCACATGACAGAACAGGACAATCTTTGTTTAAAAAATCATTTATAATCTGTTTGGGGAAAAAAAAATAGTTACCATGGGAAACATCAACCTGAGATGTACACGAAGGAAGTAAAAAGCCCCTCGTGTATGAATCACAGATAGATAGTAAATTCCCAATTCAGACAGTGTTACACATGACACAGGAAATTCTGCATTCGACCTCATCTTGGCTGATAAAGAGAAACCGCCCACAGGGAAACTGGCCACAGAACCAAAAATTAGCAGTAAGTATGGTACACGTTACAAGTTGTTATAATTTTGATTGATTGCATTTGTCAAATATAAGCAAAATAGAGTGCAGAGAATTCATATATGCTCTTGATATACTTTGAAATAATAGTTTTGACAAAGCTAAAAGCAGTATAAGTCATCTCACCTAGAGATAATTTAACTGGGGGAAAAAAAGTGAGCAACCCTTGGGTAACCAAGTGAAACATTTCATAACTGTACAAAAAGATTGTGTCCTCCAATCAAGAAACAAAGCTGTGATTGCTGTGCAACAGTTTAAGTGGATAGATGGAATTACATCCCTGCATGTGTGCATGTCTAAACAAGAAATTATAAAAAATGAATAAGCAAAGCAGAAGGACACAGGCCAAAGCTTTGGTAAGAAAAATTAAGGAACATCAGAAACTCAATAAAAGTCTATTAAGAACAAACAAAATTATACTGATGTTACTTTATAGAAACAGTGAGACTATCAAGGATAATGTAAAAATGGCAGAGATGTTCAGTCATAATTTCTGCTCTATCCTTGGAAATATGTGGAAAAAGGTGGTAGTATCACATGGTGATGATGAAACACTTTCCATAAGGACAATGTTGAACAGCAGCTGCTACTGACAGATATATTTAAATCCAGACATCTAGGCGACTTGCCTCCAGTAGTTCTTAAAAAGCTGCTTGAGAAGTACTTTGGGTCATTAGTGTTGATTAGTGTCCTGGAACACAAGAGAAGTTCTAGAGGCCTTGAGGAAAGTTAATGTTGTGTCAGTATTTAAAGGGTAAACAGGGTGACCAGATAATGACTGGCCTGTCAGCCAAACATTGATTTTTGTCAAAACAGTGATAAAGTTGATCTGAGTCTCTGTTAATGAAGAATTAAAGAAAGGGTAATATATTTAATGCTTATCAACACTGGTTTGTGGAAAATAGATGTTGTCAAATTCATCTTTTTATGATGAGATTATTGGTGACAGTTTCAAGCTGACAGAGGATAGATTTAGATTGGTTATAAGGAAGGAATTCTTTACAATGAGAATGGCAAGACAGTGGAACAGGTTGCTCAGAGAAGCTGTGGATGTCCCATCACTGGAACTGCATAAGGTCAGGTTGGATGGAGCTTTAAGCAACACAATCTAGTGAAAAGATATCCCTGCCCATAGCAGAGGGGTAGACTAGATGATCTTTTAAAGGTCTCTTCCAACCTAAACCATTCTATGATTCTATGGTTCTGTGTATTTGGTTGATAAAGGTAATAACATTGATGTCATGTCACTGTAAGGACCTTGCCTTGGTCCTACACCCTGTTTGGATTAAGAAAACAGAGCAGATCAAGATGGCATGTGCTAGTAGACAAAAAGCTACATCTGCAACAGATGTCCAACTGCCCGTGAGGACATTTCAAGGTGGTCTCTCATAGGAATCATTTACTGACACAAAGGTGAATTTGAACTACATAATCAGTAAAATCTTTAATGATAGTGCTATGAAATGGTAAAGGGACTGGAAAATAATGAAAAGGGTGATTCTTTAGTACAGCAAGATCTGGATCATTGGTCGTGTGTCTGCAAGAGAACAACAAAGGGTCAATCTCACAGAGCAACAAGTGGAGGCCATTCCTACAACGTGGGGCACACCACCCTCCCCCTGCATTCTGTTTTACTCCTGGTTTCCTTGGACAACCTGCTGACCACTGAGAGGGCAAATGAGTCTTTTGTGAAATCTCAGGTAGGATTAAGGAATCACTTGGGCCTGGCTTTAGCACTGGTGTGACTTTTGTAAACACACATAGGAATACTGTGCTCTGTCTCAGTGCCATAGCTCAGGAACGCTAGAAAAATGAAGGTTAGTAGTGTGCAGAGAATGAATTATATCAGTAGCTTGATATCTGTGGTAGACAGAGCATGGAAAAATAGATTTAAATCCCAGTAAAAGAAATTTGGGGTGGGCATTGAGAAATCATTTTAGGCCTGAGGGTGTTGGAGAGCTGGTTGGGCAAAAAAGAGCAGTTTGTTCTGTAAACACAGCTTTGCCTTTATTAAAAAACAAACAAAAAACTGAAGTGAGGACGTTATCGCATGTGCAGATTTTGGAAGGAGCACTTCAGAGATTGTGTTTTGGCTTCAGTCGCCCCTCTGCCCTCAATCACTTTGTCAGTGATAAAGAGGAGTCACTTTTATGGAGCTGTTTCACCATATAACTCCTGCATGGTAGAAAGGGAATGGAGCAGTTCATACAGACTAAGCAGTTCTCAAACACATGCAAAGCCAGATAAGCAGGACTGTCCTTTCAGTAACCTCAGATACTGCTAACTATCAGCAATATAACAGAGGGCTCCTGACATTCCCATTTCTTCCTGGGCACAAGATGCAGAAATAATTGAGCTTCTCATTATTGGATTTAAAATACATACATATTTACACCCAGCAGCATCTGGTTTGATCACTAACCCCTTGTGTTCATGTGTATTGCTTGCCTAGAAAGAAATGGTTACATTCAAACAGTAAGTTCCTAAGCCAGCTAGAAACTACAATGAACAGGATATTCAAATTTTCACAGCAGTGCAACAAGATGCACTACTGTGGCTGCACAATAAATACTTGTGTGCCTCAGCCAGAAGCCAGACAGGTCGCATCAGCTGATAGATGAAAGAAACTCTCTTGAGAAAATTAGTTGTCTGTTTTCCAGTGCAAACGAGATGGCAGATAACATAGACTGCTGAGTGATTTAGAAGGTGGCATCCCCTTGGGTCTTTTTCTTAGGTCCCTTACATGAATTTCAAAATGTTACCAGCTAAATATAGGAAGAACCCTGTTACTACAGTTCCACTGGTGACACATTTTTATTGCAACCCAGCAAAACATCTAGGTGGGTCTTTTCCCAGTCTATTCACTTGGGAACAGGGTAAAAGAGCCCTGTCATGCAACAAATCACACCTCCTAGGGAAAGCAGAATGTCGTGTGCCTTGACTGCTGCAAAGGCTTGACAGTGAAAGCTTTGACCTGCTGCAAAGCTTTGACTGTCTGCTTTCACAGGACAGCCTTGGAAGACCTGCTGCACGCCATCCCACTCTCTTTCCTTGAACAGGGAGATCCTAGCTTTTTTGTGAGCTATGAGAGAAAAGAGGCTGTCATGATAGTGCAGAGATCCCACATGCTATGCAAAGTGTGAAGGGTGCTGTGTTGAACCCAACATTTTCCTTTAGGTTCAGCCCCTGGTTCTGCTGAGCTGGAGGTCAATGTTTTCTGATGCTCACTTAGAGAGTAGGGAA